AGGAACATTTTTTTTTCACTTTCAAGTGGAAAGAAATGTTTGATTTTACATAAAGCAATGTTGCTTTATTCTTAATAATACTCCTTAAACAGTCAATTTGAACACAAATTCTTTGAATTAACTAATTAATGAAAAATATAATATGCATTTTATTAAATATGTTTTTAATTGTAATGTTTAAAAATACGTGTTTTTCTTTGTGGTTTTTTTTTTGTTTTTTTTTTTGCCGAAAGTCTAGGCTTTTTAATCTAGGATCCGGTTGTGGTTACGAACGAACAAACTAAGGTTCATAACTATGATTCTGTTTATATAGCAACGTAGTGTAGGGATATTAGGATTCAGTTGTTCAGTCTGGAGGTTAATTAATCATTCTGCGCTGATAATTTTTTCATACATTGGGAATAAATTCTGATATGCTCTATATGTAATTTTGAATTGTGCAAACAACATTGAGTGTACGTGAATGTTTTGAAGAGTAGTACCTTGTGGGTAACCTCTCACGTTTTGTTTTGGATATTTTCTACAGTATTTTGTGGGTAAAATTTAATATACTTTATCAGTAATGTTGATCTTTACCTTTTCGGTAAACTTATGCATACGTTGAACAAAAAATGAATTGTTTTCTGCAGGTAAATTCAGCAGTACCTCGTGATAAATACTGTAAATACAACTTCATCACGACATTTTGTAGACACATTATTTAGGGATATTTCTTGGTCATAATCAAAGATTTTACAGATAACGCCTCAGTAAATAACACCTTTTGATAGAAATTTAGAATTACATATGACAATACCAGACATTAAATAAAACTGCATAATACAGCCGTTTCTTCCTTCTACGACTTGTCAGTGATGCTAAGGATCGATGTCTAGGAGGTTGGTAGGGGAAAATCGAAAGAGATCGAAGGAAAAGTCTAGACAGCCTCGTAATTCAATAAATTTCGTAACTGGCTTGCAGGTTACTGGAAAGCTCGAGGACCAAACGTCCACCAGCAGGTGTCTACCACCCGAAATGTCGAACATTGTACAAAAGTCACATAAGTGAATAACACATTCTGAGATAAATTTAGAGTTAGATACAGTAGAGTCAGGCAATGAATTAAAACTTCGTAAAGCATTGGGTTTTTGCTTTGATTGACGTGCCATCTTATTTTTGTAAAATTCATAAATTTTGATAGAATATCCTATCGTGATTCGTTTTAACCTGTATTAGATTCATGTTAACAGTACAACTTGCCACGTGATTTTCGTAATACTTAAGTGTTACTTAACACAAGAATCTTGACTTTCGGTATAGAATTCCCATTACTTAATAATATTGTGATACTAGGTTTCTTAACATGTAATGTAATAGTATGAATTCAATTTTCGTTCCTTATGCTCCTTAATTTGTCTGTTGGTTCTGGTGTTTTATACCTTATTATCATTTGAGAATGTGACCTTATTTGGATTGACAAAGATTTACAAGGCGGCTGTCGTCGATTAAGCAGAAGACGCTTACTCTTCCAAAACATCTGGTCTTATTTTCCTGGTACTTTTTCAGTAGTCTCTTTCTTTTGTTCATATTTTGCCCTAGTTTTATTGAAATTGAGTTAAGATTATGGTTATGTTGACATGTTGTTACTTTCTTGTTGTTTTCTCTCTCTCTCTCTCTCTCTCTCTCTCTCTCTCTCTCTCTCTCTCTCTCTCTCTCTCTCTCTCTCTCTCTCTGTCGAATTTCAACATTTAGCCTCCAGGTGTTATCCTTGTTCATGTTACATATATAACGAGCAATTCTATTTGACAATCCACATGTCTGTTTTGTGCCAATGTCTATTTATTGGTGATATTTAGCTATTTTGTGTATTATAGTGTTTGAGATTTTGTCAAGACGCCATACATATGCGTGTTGAGCATTTACTCCTGTCTTCAGTGAATTGGCCTTTTCCCCTTTCTTGTCTATTGTGGTCTAACTGATGAGGAAATCACTATATTTTCCCTAGTCTCGCTAATTACCTTTGGCATTAGGGAGACTACCTCTAGACACCAATTGTGCACGCACGAGAGCCCGGTTTTCCTTAAGCTAGTAAAAAGATAAGCTACAGTCGTCATATATTCGTTGATGGAGCGTCTGGCACATGTCGTGGTGTTCGCAGTACCATGTTGTATGCTCCACGGTATATAAACGTTGAAAATCGGCCTTCCTACTCTCTGAGTCATTTGCAATAAACTGTTTGCTTGTTGAAATAGGCTTTCACCACTTAAACATCTTACGGATATAAACACGTCTGCTTGTGACGGGAGGTATGATTAAAAGTAAATCGATATCGGGCTTGACGGATGAGAATACAGTTTATTAAGTATGTTTCCAATATATGCCTACAGCTGTTGACTTTTATATTATAAAATGTAAATGTTGCTACGTTTTTGTCTTATAAATTTTAGGAGATCTTCTGCATGTCAAACGTCAATCAAAGCAAAAACCCAATGCTTTACGAAGTTTAAACGGGGATTATTATCAAATGTCTTAAAAACATACGCCTGCTTTTTACAGTCCTAAAAAAAGAATGAATGCATTATGTATGCGGTTGATAAAACGTTGTGGTAAACATATCGTACTTCTGACTGGATCCCGTACCGACACTGAAGCAGACTTCAACAGGTGAAGGGAACCCTTCAGTATTTGTGAGAGAAGACCGGGACATGCATTTCACACAAGTGCAAATTATCTTTCTAAAGACCACTTTGTATGCCGAGTCTTAAAATCAAATCCTACAATAATTTTCCCCCATTTACGTCACAAAGCCATTGGTAAAGAGCTATCCTATGGATTACGTGTGGTCTCGGTCGGCCACTGAATTTTTCGTCAGACTAGTATGGTTTATCTGTATCAAATGTAAACAATATTCAGTTATATTGAATTAAGGTATGAATTCACCTTCTTATCTACACTCTGAATATTGACTACAGTCAATTTTGATTTTCTAAAATGACTATTAGGTTTCAAGGCTATAGGCCCGCAACATCAATTATTAGTCATGGAAAAACGGAATAACTGCATGATTCAGCTAAATTATCATTGTGCTATATTATATCGAATTCTTAATATGTATTGCTTTTTCCATTGTCTCGATTGTTTCATTTTGTTAATATCAGCCTAGCAAATGAACATACACTCATGCAACAATGATAGTAGCTTACCAAATGCCTACAACATTATATATATTATATACAAAGTGTCTACCATGACTCTCTAAAATTTAAAGAAAAAAAAATTGTTTGAAATTGATACCAAAATAAAACAACAAAAAGAGACGAAAACTTCACCTGAGAAAAAAGAGAAAAGATATTTCTACAAATTAAATATGTTTCATCAAATATAAGAAGAATGAGGTTTAGTGAATGTAGTTAAGGCTTGATTTACATAAGGAACTGACACCTGATATTCTCAGGTTAATAGGTACACCATTTAACTAACACAAGTTAATGGCAAAACGAAAACAAAACTTCCATTTAGCGTTTTTTAGAGTACCTATTTATCAATTAGTATTCAGTACTTGTGCTTACAACATAAAGACCATTTATGATTTTGAATCCTATTTCCGACTAATTGCCTTTATAAATTTAAACCGTGGTATTACATCTATTTTGAACTTCGTCTTATAATTTCAACACAGATAATGACTTGAGTTATTTTTTCAACACAACACAAAGACCAATGTGTTTTAAATACTGTATGTTTAGGAAGGTCTTTTCACGTGGAACTGAGCGAGTTGTTGAAAGATACATACGATGCCTCACTGATGGTATAATTAGATACTCATATCCTTTATCGCTTGTGTAACGGGGGCATATGACCATACCATGGATAACTAGCGCGTCTATGTGAATTAAAGAGTATATAGAGGCTATGATGTGTAACGGCTAAATTCGATTTCTGATTGGCTGTTTACCTTTAAAAGTTGTCTGCATCTCCTACAAAGATAACAAATGACAAAACTATACATATATATGTGAAAATCCGAATGCCTATCAACTCTTGAAAAACCACTTAGGGGATGATGAAAGCTTCTAAGTTGAATAGACGCAATTTAAAAAGATTAAAAATATCAGGCAAATGCATTAAATTATCATTGAAAATGCACGCAGTATTTTGAAAGGCGTAAGCGGCAACCATTACACAGTGTCTACGCCAAGTACACTAAAACTGAGATACTCTAGATCAATGATAATTAGCACATTTAAGCAATACATAACTGTCCGACAAAATCATCACAACATCAGGAAATGCTCGTCTTTTCGAAGCATTCAAATTGGTTTTCCGGACCAAGTTACCACACGCACCCTCCCATTAAAGAGACTTTGCAGACTGAACTCTTCATTAAAAGTGATCGAACTTCTTTTAAAGGTAATTGATGCTATCCTTGTATCAGTTACCAGAAAAATCGTGGTCATACAAAAATTGTAAACTAGAGTTCTTCCCAGCGTCGCCATAGTGATCCCAGACCATACATTACCCGCTACTTAGACATTTTCATGTTTCTAAATTTCCAATCAATCTCGGCATATTGGCAATGTGTTTTATCGCCAGGCAAGACGTGTGGCGCCACCTAGCTTAATTACGGACCTCTTTGATAATTACTTGTCGTTTTGAGGTGAGGAAATCAATTCCTTTAGATATCAATATTCTATTTTGATTGAAGACTGGCCTCCCAAAAGTGACATGTTTTTTATTACTCTTGCTTGGTGTGCGATAAAAGTCGAAACTGTTTTGATATATAATTTATTTCTTTAAGGAACACTACGGTTTCTACCCCCATCCCCCCTTTCCCCCCCCCCCCTCTTCCCCCCCTTCCCCCCCTCCCCCCCCCCCCCTTTTTTTTCTTTTTTTTTCTTTTTTTTTTGAAAATTATGTTAACAACGATGAAATTAACAGCAGATATTTTGACATGGTGATTCAATCAATTCATGCAATTCTGTTTTCTGAAATTAATGTTAACGTTTTTATCTTTATTATAGTTTTCCAGATGTCAATACCTTGTACGGGGGAGGACGAAGGAACAGCATCTCTAACGTTAGGACTCCAAATATTTAATAAGCATGGTCAGCCAATCAGAGGATCTCCTATGCAGTTTAAACTCAAAAAGACATGCTCTGCGTTTGGTTTGTATTTTCGCTTTTTCATGTTAATATATATCAACATCAATTAGAGTTTCCAGATAATTTGCTCTCTTTAAACTTTTAAGATGTTTTGATATCGCGTACTTTGTTATCATCTGGTGTCTTTAACATCCATGACTGAAGTTTTGTCTCTCGGCTTCACACTTTCATTGCGACCATCTTTGCAGACCGTTTCTTAGATAATCAAATATGATATAAAAATCAGTTGTATATCATTTTGATTTCCATCTTTGTACTTTTAATCTTATTTTCTCGTGTTAAAATGAAGTAATTCTTTATCTATAAGCTACTCCCTTTTATATTTTAAAGAAAATTTTATCAATTTCATGATAACGTTTTTTGTAGTTTCTTCCAAACTTTGTCCATTTGAGTGTTTAAACGGAGGACGATGTAGCCAGTTTGGCCACTGTGAATGTGCACAAGGCTATCATGGACTCAAATGTGAAAGAAGTAAGTTTCCGAAACATGCTTCCTACTGTGCAAAAAAGGAGGAAGTCCACATTTTGTAGTGTCTCTGTTTATTTATGTGAGGGTGATACGTACAGAGAGTGTTCTCGGGAACGTATCTGGATACAGACTCAGTATCAATGATACAGAAAGGGTTTATAAACTATCTGGAACAAGGATTAGTGATCCACAAAAAAGTCAAGGTAGCCAGACTGAACATGCCTAGCTTGTAGAACATATTATATAGAATGATATAACCATTGTCTGGTAACTTGATATCACTATCCAAGGTAACATGTATTTCTGCCATGAAAAACATTGCCTTTGGGCATAACGACGATAAGGTTTTTGATAAGAATTCTCAGATATAACTCATATTTCTATTTTCAAACTTTGAGATTTTTACTAATATATTTTATTTTGATATTTTTGATATTTTTTTTATTATATCACTACACCAAAACAAAAATATTCGACGTCATTTTGTTGTCTATAAATAGAACAACAACGTCCCTGCATCTCTATAGCATCATCAATTAGACTGCTTTCATACATCTTTGTATATACCTTTCAAAAGAAAAACTAGAAAACTTAATAATTGATTCGATGATGTGTTATTTGGTCAATGGAAAATTATGGATCATGTTATATTTAACACAATTTTTACGTAATTCACGATGTTTTGTTTCAGCAATGTGCCAGAACGGCTGTGACAACAATGGTACCTGTATGTCAGAAGATGTATGTATCTGTCCCGACGGTTTCTCCGGCAAGCGTTGTGAACGGGGTACGTTGATTGACCGTAAGAAACAATGACATAAAATGTTTGTACGGTAAAATAATCTGCCCTGTTTGTCACTTTAAGTTGCAAATACAAACGACCTAAGTTCTTTCCTTTGTCGATTCCAAAAGAAATACCATCGACGATTATTGTATCATAATGGCCGACTTAAATCTTTCTTTTGTATCCCTTTTTATCTCTCTTTCTTAACACGTTTTTATTTACCATTTTCATCATGCAATCTTGTAAATCATTGTTGTATTACAGATTTAGTTTCAATGCCAAAAAACCATATCTATATGTATTGGAATGGCATACATACTTGTTAATGTTGATTTCGTAAAATTTATGGAATTTTGGGGTTAGTGAACCTCCCTTCTTCCTTTTTTTAAATTTCCTTTGGTAAGTTTTAATTTTTCCTCAGTCGCTTCCTAGGTTTCAAATAAAATGAGACCATATCGTGCCTGTCGAATTCTAAGACCAAAAAACTGTATGATACAGTCAAAATCATTGTGTATACTGTATCGAATTCGTATTATTGAAAGGATCTTTTCACATGTTTGTCCATTCCTATATTATTTGGTTTTGAATACGAAAACAGATATCTTACTTTTGTGGCCTATCTCTTGTAGCTCTGTGTAAACAACCCTGTCAAAATGGAGGACGTTGTATACTTGAAGATGTGTGTTGGTGTACTAGCGGTTTCTACGGAGAGGCTTGCAGATTCAGTAAGATACCATTCTTATCATGCAAACATTAGAATTAAAACGAAGGTGTTCTGCAGGTAACAACTCGTGATATCATGAGCGATATATATGAATGAAATAAAAAGGAACATGCGCATACGAACAAGAAAAACAAGTTTTATGATTTATTCAAATTAAGGGAAATTCATGTGTATAGCAGTTTTCGTCTGGCGTCCTCTGAAAAATACTCGTGTGAAAGACTTATTTCTTGAATATTAAAGAAAAGTTGCCGGAACCAGAGCACAAAATTTTGTTACTTGTTCAGTAGACTTCAATAACATAAAATATATTTTTTCATTTCTGTTTTTTTTTATTTTTATCATCTTTTATTAACTTTCTTAACTTGCATCATACAAATAATAGGTCAAGAGCATTTCGAAAAGACGCATATCGCCTTGTTTACTGCTTTTAAGTTCTGAATAAAATGCTTGATATTTAGTATAGAATAGCTAGTTATGTGTGTAATGTTTGACAATGGTGTATCATGACGTCCATAGATTTTGATTTATGTTCTGATGAATCTAATAGTAAAGTATGAATGCCATAACATGTTTTAATTTTTTCATACGTTCAACCACATATCTATAAACTTATACGATAAGAAATCCACATTGTCTGACAGTTAATGCCACGTCTTACATTCCTGTTGAAAGAATCTGTCGTCATTTACCCATGTGACCTTTTACGTTTTGTACGTCACTAGAAATCGACAACGCCCTGGATAAGTTCCTATATCAAGAGTTGATTAATCTTTTCACCGTCTTATTTTAGAAATAAGAATATTAATATGTAAATAAACAAACATGATAAAACATTTTGAATGTGAGTGCCTGACGCTTTGTCAATTTACATCACGTGCTTGTATTCCAGGATGAGCTTAACTTGTATCGATTTCAACACCTGCTAATGTTATCACAGTCATGTGATCATGGCACGTGATGTTATTCTGTTGACAAATGTAGCGTCGTCGTCATCATTATTGTAGTTTGGGTGCATGTTCTAACATCTTGTGGGAAAAGTGTTATAACAATCTTTTTTCGATTTATCAGCAGTTTTGGCTTTACATCGTTCAAACTACAAAAGGTTTAGTAAATTCTAAATTCTTCGCAACAGTGAAAATGTCTTATCAAGCTATATGCGTATACTAATTAAACTTAAACTTGAAGTAAAAGTTATAGATCGTTTTCATGATATAATTTTGTAAATTGCAAACCTGCTTAACTTTAACTGGTTCTGGTATTAAAGCATAAATGTGCCACAGCTGTTATATCGATGAGGAGTTAACATGGTACTAATGTAATTACATACAGAACCTATTCAAATACCCAGAGGAATTTGAAGTATGTTATCACATGTAGGCTGTAGAATGAACCGTTCACAAGAAAAAATGAAAGATAACCATCTATGTTTGTGTGCTGACAAAACTTCTTAATAAACATGAGTCAAAGCTACTCCCGTTTAATCTTTAACGTCCAAGAACGATATATTTCGTTTTGTTTATAGCAGTTTAGATGAAAAACAAATGAGTATTCATATGACATAGCCTTTTTCTTGTTTGTCATTGTAGCAATATACCTATTAGTTACTAAGTTCATAATCTTTTTGTCATTAGAGCAGGTTTTTATTGCAGCGGTATATTTGAAACAGTTTTTTTCCATGTGTGTAGTATCTTAACAATTCACTGAGTATTTTGTTATGTTTATTTTTGTTGTTACTACAGAGTATTTATGAGTCAATAGGTCTATAGGTCATCTCCTTTTGTCGTTATTGCAGAGTACTTATAAGTCACTTGTTCAAAGTCTGTTTCCTTTTGTCGTTACTGCAGAGTAAACATAAGTCACTTGTTCAAAGTCCGTTCCTTTTGTCGTTACTGCAGAGTAAACATAAGTCACTTGTTCAAAGTCCGTTCCTTTTGTCGTTACTGCAGAGTAAACATAAGTCACTTGTTCAAAGTCCGTTCCTTTTGTCGTTACTGCAGAGTAAACATAAGTCTCCGAGTCCTTAGTCTGTCTGTTTCCTTTTGTCGTTACTGCAGAGTAAACATAAGTCACTTGTTCAAAGTCCGTTCCTTTTGTCGTTACTGCAGAGTAAACATAAGTCACTTGTTCAAAGTCCGTTCCTTTTGTCGTTACTGCAGAGTAAACATAAGTCACTTGTTCAAAGTCCGTTCCTTTTGTCGTTACTGCAGAGTAAACATAAGTCACTTGTTCAAAGTCCGTTCCTTTTGTCGTTACTGCAGAGTAAACATAAGTCACTTGTTCAAAGTCCGTTCCTTTTGTCGTTACTGCAGAGTAAACATAAGTCACTTGTTCAAAGTCCTTGTTCAAAGTCCTGTTCCTTTTGTCGTTACTGCAGAGTAAACATAAGTCACTTGTTCAAAGTCCGTTCCTTTTGTCGTTACTGCAGAGTAAACATAAGTCTCCGAGTCCTTAGTCTGTCTGTTTCCTTTTGTCGTTACTGCAGAGTAATTATAAGTCACTGAGTCCAAAGTCCGTTTCATTTTGTCGTTACTGCTAAGTACTTATAAGTCACTGAGTCCAAAGTCCGTTTCATTTTGTCGTTACTGCTAAGTACTTATAAGTCACTGAGTCCAAAGTCCGTTTCATTTTGTCGTTACTGCAGAGTACTTATAAGTCACTGAGTCCAAAGTCCGTTTCATTTTGTCGTTACTGCAGAGTAATTATAAGTCACTGAGTCCTTAGTCTGTTTCATTTTGTCATAACAGGAGTATATTTATACATTAAAAGACTGTAGATATGTAGGTTACATCGTTATTTTCAATCAGGTTTTATTGCACTGGTGGAATAAAGCAAGGGAATAATCCATGCTCTCCTACGAGAATATAAGCTCAGGGATAACTTTTCTGCACTTATTAGATTTATTCGTACTTTTTATATCAGTCTCCTGTTGAAATCCTTAAAAACACATTAATATCTTAATGGTATTTAAGACGAAAAGGGATTATGTCATAAATTTCTTTATCTTAAAGGTACAAAGAAGTTTTCACATATATTATCGTGTATGTTGGTCCGTCGTGGATCCGTTGAAGACGAAATACCATGAAGTGTTTCAAATTGAGATGATTTGATAATGAACAGCTGCTGTTAATGTTATAATCAGCTGCAGTATTGGCAACGTAATAGAATATTCTACAATGGTCCTAGAATGAAAACCTTCGACAACTCTCAACTGATTAAAACGTTGCGATTTAGGTTCAATACATGATATGAAATTGATTATGAAGCACTCAAGTCACCCCACATTTGCAGTGATGCAGGGAATTGGAGTGCCTACTAAAAGGCGGTTTTTATTGCACCGGTTTACGACTCTACGGGTCTGTTTTACAGCCCACAAACATATGTCATACCTTGAAATTAATAAAATTTTTCACATAACTCCATCCACATCTGATTCATTTCATATGAGGATGTTTAAGTATGATTTTCTACATCTATTTGAAAAAAGCTAAAAACTGGAAAGTGAAATAAGTGAAGGACATATTACGATGAAAAGATTATTTTACAACTCATTAACTGAACACAATATTGATATCATTTAAGGGGAACTAAAAAACTGAGTGAGCTTATTGGTAAAAAAAGAAACTTTAAGTGTGTGAAATGTTGGCATGTTGATATCTTTCGCGTTGCTAATGCCATAGGGTCCTAATATAGTAAATAATTTTCGTTAAATAGAATATTTCTGAGTCGAGCCAACCAATATCTTTGTCACTAAAATACGTTTGTGAAGAGATTTGTTTTCTGTTGTTTCCTGTGAAGTTTTCTGTGACCTTGTGAAAGCTATAACAGCAAGAATTTGTACTGGTGTTCTTCTTTATGTACGGTGTGACCCCGATATGCATGCCACCAGTCCACTGTTATCGATCTTATCTCTAATTCTAACTAAACGTTACTTCCTAGAAGTGATTACAATTAACAAGCATTGATAAATTTTCTAAAACAGTCTCTTCTGCAGATTGCTATATAACACATAACAACATTTGTTTCCAAATAACTCCGATTTAACCACGAGATACGATAGTGTTTGTTTAAAGAACTGTTTTTATAACGTTTTATTTAAAAGTTTTTTTTTTGAATGCTGAACTTTCTAAAACCAAACTAAAATAATAACTTTTTGGTACTAACTATAGAGTAAAAAACTAAAATCAGATTTTCGTATTGCAGGCAAATGCAAACCCCAATGCGAAAATGGTGGCGTGTGTATTGGGGTTAACGAGTGTCAATGTCCGGCAGCGTTTAAGGGTGATTTGTGTGAAAAACGTGAGTCACCTAAACTCTTTACTGATGCCGATATTACCGTGCTATAACCATTAATCCTAACAATTAGAGTCATAATAATAAAAATGCTTCAGGTGGTTGCGGTATAGGTCTGTCGTAACATTTATGATATGGAAATAATTAATCTTCAGAGAAGTAAACATACTCACTGATTGTCGTAGTTTCCTGATATTTTTTTGTGTTCAGACCGGTCTTCAATACTTCATGCCTTACAGCTGCCGTGTTCCTGGTGACCAAATCTATGTCTATTCCTAATATTTATTTTGTTCATATGTTTCCCTAGGTTTATTGAATTTGAGTTTGGGTTATGTTGATATTTTCTTGTTTGATTTTTGGCACGGTAAGTTTGGCTATATCAAACTTTTTTCTTTTTCTTTCCCAAACAGGTAGATGTAAGCCAACGTGTCGACACGGTGGTTTATGTATAGGAGACAACAGATGTCGGTGCCCAGTTGGATTCTCAGGCAGTGTGTGTGAAAAACGTAAGTACAACTCGATATGATGATGTCTTTTTTATTAAGCTTGGCCTGTTGTTTTTTAGTTGTAGTAAATATCCGGTATTACGTAGTCATTGCTTTGGTTCAATTTCTATATATAGCTTGGTGTCACATCACGCCGAATCCGATATTTGAAATTCAACAGTATTGCAATCATAATGTTTCAACCATAATTGAGCACTTTATGGTTATGTAGGTTTTGCTTATTTTGACCTTTTATGTATATAGTTTTTAGTTACTATTAAATACGTCATCGATATTTTAAAGTTTCGAAAAACAGCACGTGGTTGAAAACACCATAGTTGCTTTGCTAATTCAATATTTGTTTTATGAAAAAAAATTATCAAACTTACCATTGATATCATAAATTGCAGTTTGAGAAAAGGAAAACATCGGAAAAATCCTTGATCTGTATTCACAATAGTGTCCGCAAAAGGGAAGGGGGCATTTGGAGATGAAACCAAAGCAACACTGTTCGATAGTTAACACGATTTTTTTTTTAATTTCAAATTAAATCAGTTTGTGCTGCCTTAAGTGTACCTGTTTAATTGTCTTTAAGTTTTCTAATACTTTGCATGCTTTTACATATTTTAAGGCAAAACAGAAAAATCTGATGATTTGAAAAAAGGCTTAGATAAATTTTGCTTTACATATTCATCGATAAAATTTAAAAGACAGCTTAAGTTCGGAACGGCAATGTTAAATCAAAAGGCGAAATCAAATATAAATCAGAATTTATAAAATGTACATTTATGTTTAATTGGCGTCATATATTTCGTATGAAACTACCTTTACGCGTGTTCTCATTACTCCTAGACTAATCCAAACGACCTCCTTAAGTTATAAAAAAACGAAAAGGGTAAAAATAGATGAAACAAAAGTTTCGACTTCACTCGATTATATCGAATGTTTTGTTAGTACAGTGGAATGCTAAGTACGCCAATGAAATATCTCTACATTCCAATGTGTGATTGAAGATTAACTTTTATGCATGACAGCTCCATGACAGAAATAGATATGTCCTATCAAATTATGCACATTTCTTCATCTTTTCGGTGACGCCTTTCTCCGCTAACACTGAACACATGTGTGTTGATGCGCAAGAGCTCTTGGTTGCAGACCACCGCTGTTGCTCCATACCTCTCACGAGATAATTTATTACGAAAGAACAAGATGTTAGCGCTATGTGTGTAAAAGAAGATGCATTTTGTCTCTAGCTTTGATGTGCAACAAGCACCGTTCGCTTGCTTTCACTGATCCACAACTATTGTATATTATTTCACCGTTGGGCCGTGACCTCAAGTAGACGTGATAATCAGAGAACTGACGGTTTCAGACAAACACACATACTTCACGACATGGTATCGGTAGCAACAGGGCGACCTTTCATTATTATACAAATGCTATAGTACCATCACTCACAACTATGAATAGGTGCTGTGTATTAGCGAGATTCTCTATAGTATAGTGTGCGAGTTATTTGACTACATACAGAATAATTAACGCAATTACGAATTGGCGGCTCTATATATTAAAACGGTCTATTCAAAAGCCAATGCTAATAAAGGAACAAATTTATGGTCAATATACACTACAAAATAATGAATATATTTTTTGCATTTGTAATATCATATTTAAAATATCATAAATGTCATATTACATCATATAATAGTATATTACTGTACATTAACAGGAACATATAGAACATATCTATATAGACGCGACATCCACTCGATGATGCCAAAGCAATTAGTACCATCACATTTATGAAATTGTAAACTGTTAAGCAGTTGAGAAAGAGAACCCCCAAACACAACTTTATTTCATAAGCATACCACGAACAACTTTTGATAGATAAAAACATGTTGCTTATCAATATTTTTGACCTTATTTCGTGACAGATGCTGCAGAAATGATTATTTGTTAATTAACTTACGGCATAGATGTCAAAGTAATTTTTGAAATGAATGAAATATTTCAAATGAAAATAATTGAATTTGTTCTACATCTTAAATTTCAACGTATTGAAATAAAGCTATTAAGGAGGCTCGTATTTATGCTGAATTTGTTTTGTTATAATCCCGTAATGCAAAAAATTCCTTGAGTGATTTGAAGTAAATACTTAAAATGTAAGAAAATTATCGGAAAACTTTTGTTGCCAGTAGCAATCCTTTATGTGAAAATGAATGTTTCTTTAAACATCTTTAAAAATTGTAGTATTGATAAGGTTTAGCAACGTAGGAATTTTACTTTGAACTTTGTGTAAATGAGCATAAATATTTTGTAATAGCGAATGTCATTAATTACATTTACCTCCTACATGTCAGATTGCCTGTCATTTGTTGTAGAATAAACGACTATTAAAGTACTAAGGAGTGGGTAATTTGGCGAGGGTATAGTAATATCAACCAAAGACATGTCTGTTTGATCGTGGGAACGGTGATTTTACCGTTTTCTATCTTATTATTATTTTCTATATTACATTGAATGTTTATTGCATTCTTATACATTTTATTGAAATTAAACCTTAATTAATATTTCTATATAGTAACGAGCACCTCTCATAATGAATTCTGTTACAAGTTATATCTTTAAAGCTGTATTAAGGACCACTTTCATTCCACTGTATCGAGGAAGCAAAAATATTTGATATATTACATATATGTAACTGCTATTATGCAAAGCGATTAATAATACATTAATGAATTAAATTGCTTTAGATTACTATAGTCATTATCAATAATTCTAGACTTCAAAGTGAACTGGAAATAAAGAGACAAAATACAAATTACATTTGAAATACATAGCGATATCCAAATGATACGAACTGATACTCTTTATAACATGACAAAAATTAATGAGCTCCGATGAAGAAACTGTATGTCTTAAAATGTTCTTGGTTACATACGAATGGTATTGCGTACTCTGTTAATTAATTCCATCGTCACACGGAAATATTTCATTGTTTAGTTACTGATTCTTCACTTTCTGACGTGTGTTATAACAAAGATTTTACCATGTTTTTAACACATGCATATGATTATACGCTTTAGTAACTAAGGATATTGATTTTCTTAAAGTATCACTGTTGTTCCAATATGTAACCGAATAACAGAGGCAGATACAACAGATATTTAGAGCAACATTGTTTAAGTTTCTTCATATTTTTAGACAGAAGTAGTAACTGTGTAATAAAACAGTATTGACATAAAATCAATGTTACAGCTTTATAGGTTTACCTGAGTATAATTATATCGTAGATGATCGTTTCTGTTATGATTGATTAAGGCATCATCAATTAAGGATACCAATGTATAAAACTAAATGTGTTACCTGTAATTATGTTTTCTTTAAAGGTGAAAAACGGGATAAGAGAAGTAACAAAAACAAAAGGAAAAGGAAAAACAGGAAAAAGGGACGGAGGAAAAAGAAAAATCAGAAAAAACGACGACGACAGAGAAAGATAAAAAGACGAAAGGGAAAGGCAAAGAAAAATAGTAAGACATTTTTCTTGTGAACATGATAAATTAAAATTTAATTGCAATAGGAAATAAGAAAAAAACAGTATTATTTCTGTCCTTTTGGTAATAATTTATTTCTCCAATCTATCTCGTCATATTTGGTCAACAACTAATATTTAATTTACCGTTTTGATTGCCTTTCAGGACGGAAGCAACCATTATTAGAACAAGTGCGTGCTTTTTATAGAAGAAAAAAGAAGCGCGAAAGACGGGAGAGATTGCGGAAAGAAGGAAATAGAAATCGAAAGAAGCAGTTTGTACGGTGATAGTAAATGTACAAGGGCATTGGAGGATGTTGTGATATGAAAAACAAACTATTGGAGAATTCTACAATTTCATCAATAAGTGCCGCGATTTAAGTGGATGTTGACTTGTTTCTGCTTTTTTATTGCTTTGCAACCAAGGACCTTGTTAATGGCGCATATGGTCCTGTGATTTTAATTCCGAATTGCAACGGGAACCTTACATTGGACTGACGAATGGTTATGTAAGGGAACTGTGATGATACTGGCTTCGCTTGTGATTGGTGTTAAACTTTGTAATGACGCAAAATCTAGGACACAACCAACACTGAAATTTGTAAGTGAAGGCGTTATTTCAAAAATCTGTATCATATTTATAATTTTATATTTAAAAAAATCATAAATGAATTATAACCACTCAACCGTAATTTATTTGTCGTTTGCTGTGATACAAATGTCTGTAGAACTGGTGACGTCAGTGTTTCGGTATGACGTTATAGCTTGATGGATGGATGAATGAATCTGATTTGTATTTCATAGCTGTGTGTATATCGTACTCATCTGAGGGCATGTTTGTATAAAGGTTAATGCGCGTCCTGGAGATTACGTAACATATTATGTTGAATGCGAGATCTTATGCACCTATAGTATTGCTTCGTTAAAGTACAATTTATCTAAATGACCTCACCTGGAACGATGCAGACAGATACAGGTTACAGAAAACCCACTTATTATCTCATGAAATAGTCTGAAAATGGCCTAATCGCATTCGGAGTGTGTATTAAGGATGTGTGTCAGCAGATTAACTAAACAGTTAGACGTTCTACTACATAAAAATGGGTTTTGGACGTGAATTCTTCCGATGTGTACTGCTAATTGAAACATTTGTGTAGTCATAAACTTTTACTTAATTTTAATGAGTATTTCGTCCATTGCAGTTAATTTGTCGTATATTGTGATAATATGTGATAGTCATTTTGCGCTTTTTTATTTTCATTATAATGGATTCGGAGGTTTCGGGTAATTTGATGTTTATGCAATACCGATTAGCATTTCTAAAGACGTGAACATTATCAAGGTGGAGAAAATGGAGATATATTGCCGATTTTTTGAGCGAGCTCTTGTTGATGCATGACATACTTTAAACATTATTCATTTGTCACAATTTGTAAATTGTTATATAGCAATTTAGTTAATAACGATTCGGTATGAAAAAGAAAGTATATTGTGTGAGTCTAATGTGGGATACAGGATATGATAGCAATTAAAGATGTCTCTTCTTTTACCATTTAGTTAAAACAAGCACTAAATACTAAAAAGTGAAAATTGAAGTATGGATTATCGTTCTTATGACCAATTAATATGTACATGTAATTCCCATTCATCAGATTAAAGCGAAATGTGCATTTCAAACTACACCATTTCTTTTTGTTCATCTCATTATGTGAATGTTTGTTTCACTTTTCGTTGTAAAGAACATGTAAATGGTTGTGAATTCAAGCATCGTGCGATATAGATGTATATATACATATATAACGAGTATTGTTTTAGATTTCAACGTTTGATCATGTTTAATGTCTCTGTTTTGTTATACATTATAAAGTCTCTGTTGAGAAATTGAATGTAAGCGTTTAGGTTAAACCTTAGCGCACCTTTTTTAATCATCCTGTGTTTATGCAATTTATGTAATTATGAAAAATCTTACTACTGAAATATCCGATATTTTCGCGAGGCTCAGTTTTTGTGTTTATCAAAGAAATGCGTTTTCGTTGACAATTAATTTCATGGTCAAAAACGCTCAATACATCTGCTTGATTTATTTTTAACAGTCCATGGACCTATGAATTTGTTTGATTAAGAGTATTTACGAAAATATTTTTTTAAAAAAAACCACAAAAGTTAATGATTTCACGGTATCAAAGCAATCGCTCAGTCTCTAATCTCTAATCTATTTATATAAGTTTGTACAATGACAACATAATTTTATTTTGTTTTGTTTCTGATCCACCACTCCACTGATGTTTTCATACTTCACCCCTGATTGACGCCCATTTTGATGTAATATATACTGCTTTTGGTTGTGAGTGAGTGAGAGACAAATATAATTATTGTATATTTTGAGCCATACTAATATATAAATGTCACTTTGACTAATTTAACGTTATTCATTTGAAATTGAATCTACGAATTATTCTGTAAATATTTATGGTAATTGTAAAAATAAATTTGCAAATGTTTTAATTAAATGGTTACTCGTTTTGTTTGTTTTGTAGTTGGCTATGATAAGTCGTTAACTTATTGCATGAGGCAAAACCTGTGATTCTGTAATAGAAATTTGTTCGAATTTGGCTATTTATTTTTGGATAACTGTACCTTGAACTCAGCAGATATGCAGCATCAGCACCATTTAACATTACGGCATATTCGGTCATGCATCTTGTCTATCATAATTAAAAATATTGGTTGGTTTCCTCTATCCCCATTCAGATAGTGTCCTTTTCACTTTGGAAGTTCGCCTAATCTTTTATCAAAAGGTGCTATTACAATCATTGAAACTGTGAATTATTTTCCCTTTATCTCTATCAATTCGATATCATTGGAGTAAATTCTAAATATTTTGTCAAGTAAAAAGTTTCTTATGCCAGATATATTACTTACATAGCAACATCTTCTCTTACCTCTGATGAGCCTCTGACTCCCCTTCCAATGTTGTAAAATTTGTAATTTTTTTTGTCCTAAATTGTATCTCAAAAATTCTTATAACAACATATTACATGCTGAATGAACAAAACATTGTAATGGTTATTAGCTTTCCGACATGTCAACAAATCTCAATATCAACCCAGAATTGATTAAACAAGGACAAAATACTAGCAAAGGACAAAATTCTAGACTGAGACAATCGAAGACCATAAGACCAAATGCACTCCAAAAGGGATATAGTAATCTGATTCATCGATGGTGTCCACCAAATCAATCTAAATCATCTCACGCAACGTAATGTTCTCAAAAAGAGAACCAATAAAGCGACAGAAAAGTAAGAAAGATGGTATTAATTGAGCATTCCTTGTAGTCTTCGTCAACTTACACTTCTAGAAACCCTACGCCTGTAGTTTTGGATTTGTCGGCTTTCAAAGACTGCATAGAAATTATGACTTGTAAACAAGCAACTGACCATTTAATCGTGTGCCAAAGGTTAACACTCTATGGAAACATGGAAAGCGGGAAATTTGCTTTATACAAAGGGAAGATTTACAATGGTGACATCAGACGCGATATACTTTTCACACATTCTTGGTAATTTTTTGTTGCGTACGTTCTACGTAACGGTCAGGGAATGCACAAAAGACATAAACGAAAAAGTTCAATACAAAGTAGTATATGTAATCAGCACTAACATGACTGATCACGTGATCGCTGACTATATCTGAAACTCCTTAAAATCTCATGAAAAGCTACAGTTTTGTTTTGTATCAAAATAGGCGACGAATAAGCACGGACTGGAGAAAGTCAAGGAGTCAAGCTTTCACCCCTCTATGCCTTGCTTCAGTTGGCAACATCAGAAAATTCATCTTATTCTGGGAAGTAGGCATAGACTATTTTTTAAATTCCGTTTATTCTTCTGGTAACTGATTGGCGTATTCAACAACAAGTACAGGTAACATTCATAGTATCCCGGGTAAACGATTCATTTATACATTGATAAGGCTCCAGTACAATGATTGTACAAAAGACACACAAGTGAATAGTGCGTTTTAATAATTTAGAGTTAGAAACAGTAGAGGCAAATTATTTAATTGAACTGCATCATGCAGCTAAGACTCGTCAGCCATGCGAAGGGCCTAAATTTTAAAGACCAGAAGGCGACTGAGGAAAATCGAAAATGATCGCAAGAAAAGTCAAACTGTAGACGGAATGTGCAGCAACCTCATAATTAAATAAATTTTGTAATTTTGATACAGCAAATAAAATTGGAACAACGTCAAGTGCATGTGTATACTCTGAATCGTGCCGCTACACGAATGAATTAAAACGTGGCATGCAGATTACATCAAACCTCGGGGACTTAAAGTCCACCAGGAGTGTCTACCACCTGCTATCTTACAAAAGACACACAGATGAATAACACCTTTTAATAATTTAGTGGTAGATACAGTAGAGTTAACCAATTAATTAAACCGCATCATACAGCTGTTTCGTCGTTCTAGGACACGTCAGTGATGCTAAGGGCTTTTCTTTTACGACTAAGGAAAATATCAACCTGTGATACCAATATATTTGAAATATCGCTACCATGTGATATGTCCTTAGCAACAGAATTTCTCTTGATTGATTCTCTTGAATTTTTGTTGACAGCTACCTGGGAGCCTTAAATCTACTCTGATGTCATTTTTAATGTTACGAATACTTACATCATATATTCATTGACTTATTACATGCATTCTTTAATGGTGTTAACAACATGATAGTGCGCGCTAAGGTGATGTTGCGTTAATTTAGGTACAAGAAATCAAGTTTGAAATATCTTTATTATGGCACATGGTGAAAAAAAATCCAATAAATCTTATTTCATTTGCGTTTTCAAATAGTAACGGTATACATTTGGAAATAACATTCCGGCATGTTTTACATTACGTAATTAATATTGACATTTACACATCTATATGAAGGGTTATTTTTTCTTGAAGTCAAACAGCCTTTGTTCAAGGTCATTACTGGCGTTTTTTCAGAGCAGTGACGTGACGAGAACAGAAAAAATATATTGAAATACCCAATGCTCACTCAAACTGTGTTCTAAAACATCTAGGTTTATGAGAAGACAGCTCCTCGATCTAGTTCCAGTGCTCATTACTTTCGGTTTCCCCGTTACTGCGCTGTTATTCCAACTAAACTCAAAGACGTAGTTTATCTGATGTAAGATACCACAGGTGGTTTATCAACATGTTTTGAAATTTTTGACAAAAATAAACATTTGGAAAAGTGACCCTTTCGGCTGACTGATTTTGAATGATAACAGAGAATGT